GAGAGAAAGTGTGCGTGAGCGCACGAGCAGGGGGAGGGGCAGAGGGAGAGGGAGAAGCAGACTCCCCACTGAGCAGGGAGCCCAATGATGGTGTGGGGCTCAGTCCCAGGATCCTCAGACCATGACCTGAGCCGAAGGCAGATGCTTAACCGACTGAGCCACCCAGGTGCCCCGAAATGGTCATTTTTTATCTAGGAACAAAGAGTATTGGCCCTGGTAACTAAAGATGAACGTAATAATTTGCTTTTAGGTGGTGCTCAGACCAGAGGTGAGCAGGGAGAGGGCTCTCCATAGAGCACAGAGGGAGGTGGCTCAAACTCGGTCTTGCAGGAAATGCTGGAGATGGACTTAAATGACAAGAGGAAGTTGATCCAGGTTTGGGGAACAGTGTGAATGTAAAAGATGTCTGTAGGGAATGATTCATGGAGCAGTTTTGCTGGGGTAGAAGGTTTATGTGAAACAAAGATGCTCAGAGTGTGTCTAGCAAGGCACCTGGGTGCGGCGGACATGCCTGCTGGAAGTGGAGAGAGTAAAAGGGCTCACTGGGCCTCCAGCCATTGCTCTGTTTTTATAGATTGTCAATCTTTGTAAGATTCACCTGGAATCAAGGGTAGGCTTACGCTGCTTAGAAGTTTGAAATTCACCAGTGCAGAGGACTTTCAGTTAAACATGTGGATTGAACATATGTTTATTTCCATTCCTTTCTCAAAACCCCCTAAAATGGCAATAAAAGTATAATGATAAAGGAGTGGAAGAGGAGAAGCAGCATATGGGAGATGGTAATCAAAGTTTAGTTGCTGATAGATAAATGGCAGAGCTGAGAAAGCTGAAACCCAAGCTTGCAGTGTGGGTATCCCCTGGGAAGCCAGCCAGTTTGCAGCTCGGAGACCTGGAAAGCCTCAGCAATCAGACATTGGGGTGGTGTGTGTGTGTGTGTGTGTAATGAGACTTAAAAACCCTTAAGGTAAGTCAAAAATCTGTGCAGGGAGCAGTTACGTTCTCAGGTTGTCAACCGTCACTTGCGTCCCGCTGTCACATGCCTGCCTGCACACGTGTACGCCTCTCCCACACGTGGACATGTACAGCCGGCCTGTGGGCTCCAGCCGTAGCGGGAGGCGGAGATGAACTCAGAGAAAAAGGGATTAAGCGAGGGTACTGTCCCCAAGTTAAAGATTGGAGTTTTTTCTGGATAAAGTGACCAGTCTAAGGGAAGAGAACTACAGATTGTGCTATTTGGGGGTCTTCTAGTCAAACAGCGGAGTGAAGCCACTGGTCAGCCCACCCCGACCTGGATACCCAGAGCGTCCATTCAGCATTTTAATGACTCACTTTTAAATGTGAAAGAACAGCCTGAGACCAGCAGACAGAGAAAGAGGGACTTGGTGAAAACAATGTGGAAGGTAAAACTGAATTATAATTCATATCCTCAAAAATTTGGGAGGAAATATGGCATCTGTGCAAGAACAGGAGACCATAAAATGGACCATGCAGGAAACAAGACCTTTTATTTTTATTTTTAATTTTTTTAGATTTTTAAAAAGATTTTATTGATTTATTTGTCAGAGAGAGGACGCACAAGCAGGGGGAGTGGCAGGCAGAGGGAGAAGCAGGCTCCCCATTGAGCAAGGAGTCCAATGGGGGACTTGATCCCAGGACGCTGGGATCATGACCTGAGCTGAAGGCAGGTGCTTGACCAGCTGAGCCACCCAGGCATCCCAAGAAGGCCTTTTAGAAATTAATATATAGTTGACCATTGAACAACCTAGGTGTTAGGAGAGCTGACCCCCTACACAGTTGAAAGTATGGATATAACTTTGACTCCCCCAAAACTTAACTACTAATAGTTTTCTGTTGACCAAAAGCCTTACAATTGATTAACAAGTATTTTGTATGTTATATGTATTATATACTATAATCTTACAATAAAGTAAGCTAGAGAAAAGGAAGTGTTAAGAAAATCATAAGGAAGAAAAATACATTTACAGTACTGTGTTGTTTTTATTGAAATAAATCCACATGTAAGTGGACCCCCACAGTTCAAACCCTTGCCGATCAAGGGTCAACTATATATAACAGCAGAAATAAAAATTACAGGATTGAAAGATAATGTTGGAGATAAGAAAATTGGAGGATGAGTCTAGGAGCTTCAACATCATTCATGAATAGTTCTAGCAAGAACTAGAAATAGAGGATAAAAAATTATCAAGGAAAGAATGAAAGGATTTTGCTAGAATTGAGAGGTAAAGTATTCAAATTCAAAGGGCCTACCAAATGCCCAACCCAGAGAATAGGAAAAGAGTGACCCCAGGGCACATTCTAGTGAAATTTTAGGATGACAAGGGAACATCTCAGAAGCCTCCAGAAGGTAAAAATAGGGTACATATCAAGGATCAGGAATCAAGAATGCCATTTCTTGTCTCAACAGCCAGCTATGGAGCTGGATCCTTAAAATTCTGATGGAAAATTATTTCCTGTCTGGAAATCAACTCTTAGTCATCTTTAAAAAAATTTTTTTTCTTTAAGATTTTATTTATTTATTTGAGAGAGAGAATGAGAGAGAAAGAGCACAAGAGGGGAGAGCGGGAGAGGGAGAAGCAGACTCCCCACCAAGCAGGGAGCCCAATGTGGGACCTGATCCCGGGACTCCAGGATCATGACCTGAGCCGAAGGCAGTCGCCCAACCAACTGAGCCACCCAGGCGCCTAACTCTTAGTCATCTTCACACTCAACTGTGAGGGTTGAAATTAAGGTATCTTCAGTGTTTCAAACAATTCACTGGTGCATTCTTTCTCAGAAGCTACTAGATGATTTGTTCTACCAGATGAGAGGAAACCAAGAAAGAAGTCATGAGATGCAGGACATAGGGGACTCCATTCAGGGGCCAAAGATGTTCCCAAGAGGAAGGTGAGGGAAGATGACTCAGGACAGTGATGTAGAGCTGGCCTGGCGGACAGGTGTCCACATAGGACGAAGTGTGCTTGGAGAGACATGGCCAGGCACATCTAACTCACACTGAAAGGCCACCTGTGCTACGAGAATCTGGCAGGGCAGTAGTGATAGGTTCTTGAAAACCAAGCAGAATGAAATACATAATTCTTTAACTTCAGAAAAAAAGAAAAAGTTGTACAAGTAAGGAAATGTATTTCTAGTATTCTACAAAGCCATAATACAAACTCTGAATGTTGAGTTGATGATTTTTTTACATTGGGAGTCTTGAGGGAGGAGAGGGCACTGTGTGTCTTGTGGGGTGGGATATAATAAATGCTCAGCTCTGACAGTGGAGGGTTCACAAGTAACGTCTAATATGACAGAAATCAAGACATAATAGAAGAAGCATGTTATTCAGAAACATGGCTGTAAATAGAAGAAGCAGTTGAGAATTGAAAGTTGTTGTTTCTGAGGAGCAGGAATCAGCAATGGGGAGAGGTAGGGAAGGAGATGCTGTTTTTTTATTGTACCTCCTTTAGAACTGTTTGTATTTTTAAACTATTGATACATGATTCCTTTGATAAAAAAAGAAAAAAATCACTCGTTGAGAGGATCTATGAGAAAGGTGGGAAGGTTCCAGTTTGTTGTGAACCTTGAATACTAATTTGGGTTTTTGACTTAAGGGTGGTGGGGAGTCCGTTGAAGTTTTTGAGCAGGAGCATCACACACAAGCGGGCGGGGGTGGGGCACTCTGGTATGATTATCCCCATGGCAGTTTATAGGCTGGCTCAGAGTGGGGAGATTTGTTCCTGTATAGTTGGACAGAGAAATGGAAAGTCAAGGGCAGGTGACAACCTTAAGAAGCCCTTGGGCTGAATGGTTAATTCACATCAGCGGGAAGGGAAGCATCAGGAATGATGGGGTAGCTTCACCCCTGGGAGGAGGACTAGCGGGAGGAAGACTGGGGAAGACTCAGGTTTAGGGAGAGAGCTGTGGCATTTAGTTGAGTCCAAAGTGACAGTGAGTCGTGAAGGCAAAGCAGTCTAGCAGGCAGAATCCAGACACAGGGTGGGCACTAGCCATCGGGACTGGGAACTCCTTAAAGAGAAGCCATTTTTAAAGAGGCTTTGAGTTAAAAGAATCATTGAAGAGGTGGCCAAAAAAAGTCAGTTAAGAAGCTAACCCTGAAAATTGAGGAAGGTACCAGACCAAAGCATGGTAGCCATGTGAGTAAGATAAGGATTCAGAGAAGATGAAATAAATGAGAAGATAGTTAGGGAACAAAGACTTTCCAACACATACAGTGTAATCCATATTGGTTCCCTTTGTATTGGGTTAATGCTGTTTTCTTCATTGGTATCTATTATCTTTTTAAAGCCCCTTTTGTCCCTGTCCCCCTTTCAAATTTATGATGCAAACATCAGCCATACACCAAATT